AGTAGTTTCCTGATATTCTACTTTGATGGGAAGTATAGTTTATGTTGAACTAGGGAACCGGTCATCTCTCTACCTATAAATATACAGATGTTTCATCAAGTTGTGTATCAAAAGAATAAAGGTCAGGAGTAAGAAATTGATTTTCGGGCTTCACTAAAGGATGGTTCAATTTCGATCAAGTAATTCAAGGTTTGTGATTATGGCTCCAGGTATGTTGATTATGATGTTATGATGTTTTTAATTCTACATTATAATTATTATAAGTATGTGAAAATTATGATTATTTTAGATCTTGAAATTAGGGTTTAATTGATCTCGCTGATCAAATAAAGTTTACATATGTGACTTGTTAATGACCTTGTTTGACAATCCCAACAAGTGGATGACACCACAAAATTAAGATTCTTTTGAAAATTTCATGTTGTATACAATGTTTAATGAGGGTAAAAATTCGCGTGCGTAATTTTTTATTGCTAGCACTACAAGAAAACATGGCTTTTGAGTCACTCTTTTTTGCTTCGGCAAGATTTCCGACGCTAAAAAGCTTAAGTAAAAAATTAAGTATTTGCTTTGGCAAGGTTTCTGACACAAAAAAAGGATAGTATTTGCTTCAGCAAGGTGCCCCGAAGCAAAAAAAAAAAAAGAGAAGTATTTGCTTCGGCAAGGTATCCCAAAAGTTAAAAATGGAAGTATATACTTTGATAATGGTCTGAAGCAAAAACTTTTTAAATTAAAACGGCATCGTTTTATTCTTATTTTGATAAACGACATTGTTTTAAGACCCTATAACTTAAACTCCCATTTCCTTTTTCTCCACCCTCTCTCTCTCCCTTTCCTATCTTTATTCGTCGCTACCCAACCACTTTCTAGCCACCACGGCCTCATCCCAGCCCACCCCATCTCACCGTCCCTCTCAACCTCACCTTTCGTCTCTCATTTTCTTCTATCTCACCGCCCCTCTGAAGCTCGCACAGCACAACCCATCGGCGAGGCCTCCTCTCAACAAATGCAATCGACTCTTTCTCTCCGTCTCTCTCTCTCTCTCTCTCCACAAACAAAATCTGTCAACAGATGATAGTTGATTGTCGTTTTATGATTAGGGAATCCAATTATAAATAAATAGTGAGTCAATCAATAAATGTATCCATAAAAAATTTAAATAAATAAATATATATATATATATATACACATATATATATATATATATTAAAAGAGATTTCGATCCAACATTTTTGACACTTCCTAAGCCTCGCAATAACGAAAACATCATGAGCACCAACTCTTTTTTTTTGGGTCAAGCCATCCGGTATTCGAAAGCCAATTTAGATTCCGACTAATCCAAATTTGAGCTGGGTAGAACCACAAAGACGGTAAAGTTTTCCCTACCGAACGCAGCTGCGTTCTCAAAACTCGAACTCAAGAACTTGATTAAACTAGAACAGTCTCTCACCAACTGATCTAATGCTCGGTGGTCATGAGCACTAACTACCTCTTTGAACTAGGACTTGAATTATTGACACTAGGGGTGGTATACACATAATACTCGTGTGCATAAAAAAAAAAAAAAGAATATATATAGAAGTGAGATAACAATAAAATTTTATATACCCAATTTTAGTATAGATAACAATAAATTCTTTTGTATATTTAGCCAGTTGAAATATTAAATAATTTATAGAGCAAACGCAACGAGATTTATAGTGAATATTAGAAGTATTATCACATTATCTTATATGTCTAGAAAATATAATTTTCACTAAATTAAAATTGATAATATATTTATTGAAAAAATATAAATAATATTTTTATGAGAGGGGTAAAATTGGGATAAAATATATAATTGATGGAGAACTTCTTGAAAACTTAACTTGATGAATCATTACAATTAAATAAGTAGTAGACCTAATAAATATTAGGGCCCATAGAGAGATACACGAATGTAAAAAATTATGGCGTTATGGCATGTCTCAAGCCTCAGTGCTTGATTACATTTTGTGTACTCCTTTTACCTTAATCTACATTTTTACTAACAAAAATGAAAAGTTTTGAATGATTATGAGTGGTTGCGGGATAATATAAATATTTCACAATGAGGACCCAAACCTCTCTGTTTACTTAATTAATAGTATACATTAGTAGTATTTTACTGACATCCCCTCTAATTTTCTATCAGTTTTTGTCTGTTAAAAGACCTAACATAATACATAATTTTACTAAATTACGCTTACTTGAACTCCTATTTTACTTAATTATCCTTACTCAAATTAATTCAAAATTAATCTATAATTTTATCAAATTGACATTTAATTTTGTTTGATTAATATTCAATTTTATCTAATTAATATTTAATTTTATCAAATTAATATTCAATTTTATCAAATTAACACCAAACTAACATTAAATCTTATCAAATTAACATTAGATTTTGCCAAATTAACATTCACATTTATCAAATTAGCATTCAATTCATATAATTAATAAACTAATACCACATTAATATTCGATTTCATAAAATTAACATTCAATTTTATCAAAATCATATTAAACTTCATTAAATTAGCTACCAAATTAATATTCAACTTGATCTAATTAACAACAAATCAACTATCAATTTTATCAAATTAACATTAAATTTCATCAAATTAATACAAGATTTACCAAATTAACATAAAATTGATCTTAAATTTTATACAATTATCATTTTATTTCAGCAAACTAATATTCAATCTCGTCAAATCAATATTCAATTTTATAAAATTAACACCAAATTAATATTTTAATTTCATCAATTAACCCCAAATTAATATTTAATTTCATCAATGTAACATCCAATTTATCAAACAAACATCCGTTTTTTGATTGAATTTGTAAACCCTCACTTGTTCATCTTAATAGAGTGACGTAATTATGCTTATATATGTGATGACATAAAAAAGAATTAAGAATGGATAAACTATATATGTGTTGAATGTAGAAAAAATTAAGAAATGTTGAGAAGCTTGAAGTTCGGGATAGTCACTCATATGGGAAATGAATTTACTTGAGTTTTAAATATATTTAGAGTGAAATAACTAGGTTAAAAATCAAGTCAAAAGCCAGAGATAAAGAGATATCTCCGTTGGACCAGTGAAGTGTTGTTCGAACGATGCTTCAATACGAGCTTCTATTCGAACGCACACCAATCGTTTGAACACTAAGATAGGTTGGGGAATTCCAAAGAGTTTCCACTATTCAAACGCATGGGGTTCGTTCGAACGGTACCTTTGACGATACGAGCGTCTGTTCGAACGCATGCAAATCGTTTATACGCACGTGTTGATATTGCTACTTTCGTTTAAATGCACACTAGTCGTTCGAACACGCCTCATAGTTCTTGCTCCAAAAAATTATAATTTTTGACAAAACCCTAGAATTTTAATATCGAAATTGTAAAGGTTTTCTTAATATGAACTTCTGCAAATTTTAATTCCTTTATTACTATAGTGTATTGAGAATTGTGAAACTATGGTACTTGAGTTTTTATGGAGATTGTGATTGGTTAAATATTTTAGTTGTTAAGAAAATTATGTTTTAATCTCTTGTATGATTTGGGTGTTACAAACTTGAATTACCTCCAAGAGAAGTCATAGAGTGTTAGATGTTAATTTTTCCCAATAGGGGTGAGATGGTTGTCTTAACACTTGTAGTAGTTATTGTTTGTGAGAGTAACCACTATTATTCATTTAGGTTCGAGATTGAGAGATGATATATTTTTCCTGGAAATGATTCGTCAATGTTGTGTAAGACGGTATATGCACTTCCTCAAGTGGTTTATGATTCGGCATGTGGGAAATGATTGAGATTGTGTGGTTGTGATGTGTGAACGAGATATGATCGTTATGTAAATTCCTGAGAAGTAACCAACATACATGAGTTTTTATTTGATTGTTTTAATTCTTGCATGTTTATTTTTGTCATTAATTTATTGTATTTCGTACACTTGAGATCATTATAACTGTCATGATTTTACTTTCAAAAAGGTATATCTGTTATTTTCCAAAAGATACTTGCCTTCTTGTTATTGTTTTCAAACCTTGTTTGGATTTGCAAGAGATTTTCTATGGGTTTTTGTTCACCCCCTACAACAACATTAATAGATTTTAGCAAGGAAGCGAATATCGGATTAGATGAGCAGATTGATCTCAAGATTGGAGAAGGTCAGTATACAGATCCTGATGTGGAAGTTTAGAGATGTTTCTTTTTAGTTTAAATTATTTTATTTGAGAAATTTATATGAAACAATGTTTTCAACTAGTTTTAATTATTCTGATGCTAGATATTATTTGGTTTGAATTGTAAGTTGGAGAAGTTACAATTTTTTATTGATTTTAACATTTATTCTTTATTAGATGGGTGAATGGTTAATTTTAGTTGCTCTCATGATTGGATGGTTTATAAATAATAATACCTTCTAGAGTAGATTTTGGGGTGTTAGAGAATTTCAAATTAATATTCAATTTCATCAAATCAATACTAAATGGTTATTCAATTTTATAAAATTAACATTCAATTTTGTGAATTTAATATTTAGTTATATCAAATTAATATTATTTTTTAAAATTAACACCAAATTAAAGTTTTGTTTGATCCATTTTTTTTATATGAAACATTCTATTTAATCCAAATGGAATTTTATTTTATTTAATTAATACTAAAAGGATATATTTACTACTACTTTAAGCTTGTTTTATGTGGCGAAGGATAAATTTGGCAATTTATAAGAGAATAAATCATCATATCACACATTTTTTGATTGTCAATAACGGCATTAGATGGCAGAGATAGTTTGTGAAATGTTTATATAAACTATAGAGGTATGTAGTGATATTTTAGAAACTAGGGGCTGTTAGTGAAATATGACTTAAATATAAAGGGTGTCAATGAAATTTCTTCAATGTCGTTATGCAATCACACCCACTTAGAATCCAAAGTTCCTCGGTGCCCGAATTTCATACTCCGCTGGTTTTCATTTCCTCTCTCTCTGAATTCCCAAAACCCAGGAGCAAAAATCAAAGAAACTCGAGAGAGAGAGAGAGAGAGATGGGGGCACTGACGGCAGCAATCATAGCAATAGCGGGACTGGCACTGAGTTGGGTAGCCATAGAAATGGCCTGTAAACCATGTCTCGAAAAGGGTCGTGAAGCTATAGATCGCAACCTCAACCCAGATTACGACCCCGACGATGACACTATTCGTGCCCCTCTCAATCCAAACCCACCTACTTCTGCTTCTGCTGATGATAATGACTCTGATGCCACTTCTAGTGTCGTCAAAGCCGTCTGATCATCATCCCTGATCCTTAATTCAACCATCTCATTGGCTGTGCATTTTGGTACTCTCCCTTTCCACAAACCCTTTTCAATTTTTGTCTTAAATGTTTGTTTTTGTGTGTTTTTGTTTTTGTTTTTGTTTTGTTTTTTGGAGAATGAGGAGAGGAAATGGACGAGAAAAGAGGGTTCTTGTGGTTACTCTTTGTTGTATGTGTTTTGTGGTGTTTCTGTGTAAATTGAGAGATTGTTTGTGTTGATGATAATCTGACTTATATGAGTTTAATAACTACCTTATTGATCTAAACAATCGTGTTGAAACCTTTTAGAATCTTTGGCTGTGCAAGTTATATAGCAATGTTTGGTTTTTGTTAGAATTACATTCGAATCTACTGCTTTATGTCAAAATATTGGTTCTTAAGACGTTTGGCTTTTGATTCTCAGATTTGGGTTTAAATTTCATATCTTAACATAAGAGATCTTGGTAAGAATGTCCACCTTTATGGTTCATCATGCCACATCTTGCCTAATCAAAGATTAGTTTGTTTAATTGTGATTAAAAAAGGGATCTTGGTAAGACTGCCCACCTTTAATTGATTTTTTTTCTCCTCTTGATTTGTCTCATAAAATGTTGAAGATTGGCTGTTTTTGTATGGGGATCCTCCATGTAAAGTTCATTACTGGTCTTGCAATGCAAGATGCTAGAAGGGGTAGGCATTGTACCATTTGGCTTTACTTGCACAAACTTGTTGCATTCAATCCACAAGCTCTCGTGGAAATGGTGCACGGACCCACATATATATGGGAACGGAAACAGAATCACCTTGACACTAAACCAGATCGAGCCCGGGAACAGGCATTGTACCATTTGGCTTTACTTTCACAAACTTGTTGCATTCAATCCGCAAGCTCAACCCCCCATTAGTTTTGACAACTAGTTTTTGTCACGAACGGTAAAGGATAACTATATCCAGCTTCTGGTATGGAAATTTATGCCTTAGAATTAGTTTTGAGTACCATGAGAACTAGTGTAGCTACACAAAAAGAAAAGCAAAGTGTTTGAACAGTCAATTTAGAAGTGGTGCAATAGATTTGGCTTTCTTTAGCACCCAAACATCTAGAAGATAAGGTATGAAGAGAGCTAAAGGATTCTATAAATAGTGAGAATAGCACTAGTCAGATGCTAATCATAGAAGATTGTCTTCATGTTGCTTATGCAACAATTCCTGGTAAACTCTGCAAAGGTAACATCAAGCTGAATGTTCTTACCCATGGAACATGGAAGGGCCTGGATTCATTGAACTTTTTTTTTGAAAGAGAAAAATTCGAGGGGACAACTGGGGTGGAACAAAGTTGACTATTACCTGAATTACAAGGCTTATGAATAGGTTAGCATCCCTTACAACACATAGAGAGAGAGAGAGAGAGAGAGTAAATTCATCATGAGTATAAGAAAAATTCCTTATTCTATGTAAATGTGTTGTGACATTATAAAGAGGTAGTTTTGATTTGATGTGGTATTCTAGATATTAGTTTGTGATCATTTGAATACTAGTCAATCGTTCACAGAATTTCTTTAAGCAATAGATTTGCAATTGTGTAAGTTTATCATTTCCTGACCCTGAGGTCCACATAAATGGACTACAGGCCTAGCATATTGCTGGTGCCGTGGAGGCAAGCTGCAGTTGATTTTCTGATGATTAATCTACTAAAAAAAACTGAAGAGTCTCAATAGCATTGCTTATAGAATGGAGATGCAGTATGAGTCTCATTAGCATTGCTCTTTCTTCACTTGATTCTCCTTGTTGGCCTTTGATCAACACATCTGTTTTAGCCATAATTTGGCAAATATCATTACATAATTGCTATTTTGCATTCTGAGCAGTTAGGCCCAGACAAGCGTAAAACAATGGCGTTGATTATCTTTATAATAGTTATATCGTTCTGGGACACAATGTAGATAGGTACAAAAGGTATAATTATGAATGAGCAATGCTATTGAGACCGAATTTACTGACCTAATTTGTTGACCTAATTCACTGACCTAATGGTTTCATTGGATGTGAACTGTCTGTGGTGTTTTTATTTCCGAGCAACAGTAGCAGTATTGTAGTTATCAACAATTTAGGGATGTCCATGGGTCAGGCCAATCTAAGCCCATGAATTGTTTTAGGTTGGATTTGGATAGTATAGACCTAAGCTTTTTACCATGTGAGTTATCGGGCAGGCCAAACTAGATTTCGGGTAAGGGTAGATTATCCATAACCCAAATTATCACTCACTGGGCGACCTTTTTTTATATATAAATCTTCATTTAAAATTTTTTTAATTTAATATTTTTGTAAATTATATTCTTGAATTAAAAATAGAGTCAAAATAGATAAAAAATTAATTAATAAATAATATTATTTGAGAGTAATTATTTAGTATTTAAGTAAATAATGAATAATACATTAGATTACTCAACTTAGTTTTTCGGTAAATAATTTTTTTTTAAAGGAGTATGTCATCTAATTTTTAATTGTCAATTTTAATTTTTAAAACAAAGTGAGTGGGGGCGAAGGGGTTCTTGTGTCGGGTTGTACAGACTCGTGGCCTAATGGGCTGGATTTTGGGCCTATTTTTTAGGCTAGATAATGGATCATGTGGGCCAACTCAACCCATGGATACCCCTAATCAACATGAGATCCACCAGATACGGCAGTGAGTGGTTATGCAGATCATATTCTCCCTCGTACAGTACGGATTTTTGTACGGTTTTTTACCGTTACATGTGTATAAAAAAATAATAACTAAAGACTAGATTAGTGTAGAATTGATTGGAGTTTCAGTAAATGGCACTGAAAAATGTAATGGCTTCTTAATACAGAGGTTTAGCATTCTGCCGTGCAAGTGCAAAGGGAACAAATAGCCTGGCAGGATTATGAACTTTGAAAATGAATATTTCCACTTTAAAAAAAATTTTAACAAGAATTTGTCTGGAATGGTTTAGTGGTCTAATAATAGACGAGAAGTAAACTCACACGTCTTGAGCGCGAACCTCTTAGCACAAGATTTTGTGCATTCAAGATCTGTGTCGTATTCATAAATTCAAAGGACGTCTGAAACAATTTCCCCTACAACAGAAAAACAAAAGACTTTTGCAAGAGAAAGGTGAAAGATTAACCTACACGATTAGAATTGAGCCATCTCTAGCTACATTCTAAAGCACCTAACATTGGCTGAAGCACCAACAATGTTCAGCCATATTCTCTGCCGGGAATGTACACTACCATCACCCCCATGACGGGCTTCCCATTTTCTTCTTAAAAATCCTTCTCTTTTGAACCGAAAATACAACTTATTTCATGTACTCCGAAGTAGCAACGGAATTGGAAGAAATATAACAGATATGCTTTACAGTTAACAACGTAGATCACAACAAAAATAAAGATTACAACTAACTGTACATAATCTCACATGGAACTGATAAACATCGAGTCTTGACAAGGACTTCAATTTCCCGTGCCATTTACAAGTAACAGCTTATGCCAGGTAATTGTATATTTGTGATTTATGCCAGGTAATTGTATATTTGTGGGTTGCTCTTGTCTCGCTCGAGGTACTCCCTGTCAATGAGGCTTTCAATCCTTTTCTTCAAGTCAGCAGGTTTTATCGGAAACTTGAGCTGTGTAACCAAAACAAAGACACATTCAATACTTCAATTTGTCAGTTCACTTTGAGTCCACCTAAATAAGTGAAAGTGTTTACCCATCCTATCAGCACTTGCTTAATTATGGTACCAGAGTATCCATTTTTCACCAAATTTGCAGTGTTTCACTAAGACCATTGTTATAATAGTAAAGATTTAATAAATCTTTCTTTCATTTTTGCTCCAACAACTGGTGAGCAGATAGACTTACAGGCACATAAATAAATCTAAACTCTACGCATCAGATATCTGTTCAACCCAACGCCATAGATTTAGCATCTATTCAAATGTATATTGTAATACCTGCTGAAAGAGTTCAGTTATCAAGAGTGTGTGACTTAGGACTTTTCTGGTCTTCATTATCCGAACAATAGCAGCATCAACCTGCATATATTGAGCAATTGTAACAAGCACTATTGGCTTGGCCTTGTACCACTATTTTAATGATTTTTTTTTTTTTGGTTGGGGGGGGCACTATGGAGGGGCATGAACGATGTGAACCTGATATTGACGGTCCTGGAATACTCTTTCAGTGGTGCTTGTATTCTCCTCCACCGTTTCCTTCATCTGGATAGCATTTACCTGCACATCTCAAATATATTACCTTCAAGGTCTGCTATTTGAGTAAAATGTCTCGTGAAATTCAATGTACCCAAAGCCTGCACTACACAGGAAGCTGAATAGCTTAAAAGAGTGTGTAAAACTGACATAAAAAGGCATTTTGATTCCATGAATTCACTTTCTACATTGGTCCGACTTATTAGAGCTATATATCACCTAACTGCTACCATTCATGACCTTTCTTTTTGAAATCGATTAGTATACGTACCTTTATACGATATAGAGGTGCAGTAAATTGATCATCAAACACAAACGAATCATCGTCCTCCACTTCTCTTCCTTTCGGTGTCTGTGAAAACAATTATTTATTCTTCTATCAGGAAAAAGGAAATAAAAGAGAAACATTTTCTATTATCTGAATAAAAATATTCCACAAGAAAATTTTGAAATAAATACGTAAAAATTCAACAAGTCCTGCAGTGTGTGTGACCATCCACCTTTTGAAGGACACGAACTTTTCCACATGCAAGGGACTGCAGTGTTCTTCTCAGTTCCTTATCCTCAATGCTAGTAGAGTCCTTGATATCTTGAAAGCTAAGCTTTTGGGCATCATTGAACAGCATCAGAACAACAGTCTAGAACAGAAAAGACAGCCCAACCAAAAATGGTAAGGACATGTGCACTAATGCGGAAGGCATCAACTAACAAAACAGGAAAAACTAGTAAAACAACAATTCGAGGAAACCCAAATAAGACTTACCTGAAATAGAGAAACTGCCAGCTCCTTTTTACCTTTCAGAAATTCTGCTTTCAACACACAGTGACCTAATGAATTTTGCCACATCAATCGTCTTCCACTGTACTTGCTCAAGTAGAATTCCTTAAAAATATCCTGCAACACCAAGCAAAAAAAATATATACATACACATATAAATAGTGGGTAACTGCGTAACAATAATATGCATGGTGTCAAGAAAGCACTGCAGATTCCAGCCATTCTCCAGTGTATGCAAACCTGGTAAACATTGAGTTCATGGGGAAGCCGAACATCCATAGGTGGATAGGTCGGCCAGTATCTGCAGTACAAACAACCATATATCATGTTAGATTCCTCTGGAAAAATCAGTATTTACAAACATTCACATAGAAAAAGCAACCTACCCAGTTGTTAAGACATGGACACTCATCTCAATTCCAGATGGGAGTTTTGTCCTAGCTTGGGATGATTGCTTGAAGGATTCATTTATCTCTTTTGATAATTCAATGTCCTATAAAAGTGTAATTGAATATCATTAGAAAAAAAATCATACAGCGCCATTAGTGCAAGCCTGTAAGGTCATTATGTGTTCCATGGATACTGACAAAGCAAAGCTACAGTAAGAAAAGTGGGGTAGGTAGGAGCCTAGGAGGGTTGGGAAAAGACTCCTAACTTCAGAAACTAAAACATCAAATACATTTTTATTCATCACAAGACATCCTCTTCCTTGCCAAGTCAACTAAAACAACCTGATAGTCCAAAACCAAGCAAAGTATAAATCAAGCAAGCACAAACAGATACGCATGAGAAGTGGGCTGTTATATTCATTGTAGTCCCTTGAATCACCATGTGAGATAGCACAGAACTTCATGAAAAATCAAATATGTTACAAAGGCCAGTTTTTTATTAACTGCAAGAATGGATGCAAATCATCCATATTAATGTTGGTTGATATTGTTTGTATATTCCCAATGTCTAGAAGCATTCATATAATTGACACAGAAGCTGTCAAAAAAAATAGAATGTTACAACATGTAATAATCAAAACCTGCACCTATGCATAATCCTCGGAACCTTGCCACATGTCTTAGGTGTTGGGTAGTTTCACCGTCTGTCGTTTCCTCCCATAGGAACGGACACAAACCAACCACAAGAATCCTCCTTGCCCCCACCCAAAAAAAAAACAAGGACAAAGCTCTCCCTTGCTTCTTTTCTCCTTTTTGTGAACCAGCAAACTAGGTGATATCCTGTCTGTACTCTGTACCTACCCTAAATGCACTTGTCTTAAGTATAAACAAGTTAAAAACCATGATCACTGCACTTATGCATAGTTCTGGGGACCTTGTCAAGTGTTTTAGGTATTGAGCCTTATGACGGATGCAAACCAACCACAAAAGTCTTCCCTTCCCTTCCCTTCCCCACCCGAAAAAGAAAAAAGGACAAACATCCCCTTGCTTCTATTCTCTTGGTATCCTGTTTGTAACCTACATTAAATGCACTTGTCTGAATTATAAACAACTTAAAAACCATGCTCAGATCTGACATGTATAAATAGAGGAGACTGACAGATATAAATAGAGGTTATCAACATGCCTCTGAGGTAAAGTTTTTACAGCCGGAGATGTGCTAAGATGACTGAAAGAATAGATAGTAAAGCAAATGTAAAGGCAGATACAATTTAAGGAAATTATATGGATAACGGCGTCAAAGGTAATTCTATCATCCAGGTCAGTTTCAGAACGTACAATGAGGAAGTGCACTGTTCCATTCCATATGACACAAATCTAAATTTCAAAAGAAGCGCATGTAAGAATCAGATCTAGTTTTAATCGTAAAAAGCCACAAAGGTTTTAGTTGCATGATGCCATAATATATCAAGTTAACTCTTCAAACAAGTTCTAATCTAAACTACTTGGGTTCTCCATTCAGTTTTTTGGTAAAGCCATATTTCTGGTTCATTCTCAAGGCACTTTTTGGTAAAGCCATCTTTCCTTGTATGCCCTACTATATTCTTGTTTTTAGAAAAAGAAAGAGTGAATTGTCCAGGTTGAACATTCTCTTACCAAGAAACACTATCATACTACATGAAATAAAATAGGGAAAAACACCAAGCTAAGAAGCATGGACACAGACACAGACACGGGACACGGATACGACACGACATGGACACACCGACACTACATTTCTCAAAAAAGTAGAACACGGACACGTTGAGGACACGCTACAAAAAAATTATATTTTATATATAAAACTAAATAATTTATTGCAAATATAGTGATAATGATATACAATTCATAAAAAAATTAGTATTTTATGATAAGTAAACCTAATGTCTAGTCATTTGTGTGAATATTTAGAATAAAGCATCCTCATTATAGTCAATAATCATTAATTTTTTTTGTTTTTTTTGTAGACAATGTATACCTAATATATAATTTAAATAATTGCTCTCATTTTCTCAATTACTTTTTTTTAAAACTTTTACGCATCTTTTGTTTTTATTATTATATTTGAAATACAACTTTAGCATGTCTAGTGTTAGTAACTATATGTTCTTAAATTTTTAAACTTTGTTAATCACTTTTCAACATATATCTATTGTTTAGTAGTAGATATATTTTAAAGAAGTGTCGGACACGTCACGAAATAAGTGTCAGACAAGGGTCCGAAATTAAAAATTTATCAAAGAGTATCGTACACGTGTCCAAAGAGTGTCGGTGTCCGACACGTGTTCGACACGGATACATCACCTTCTCGAGAGTGTCCGTGCTTCATAGACACCAAGTCCTACTGTTCGTCCCCAAAAACAATTATTTATATTTGAACAATAAAGTCCTACTGTTTATTATTAGTTCAAAAGAAGTCCTAATTTTTACTATATACCATTTTTAACCTTTTAGTATTAATTACAAAAATTGACATCGTCCTTTGTTGATCAAATAACCCCCAAAAAGGCACTAAAAGGGTGTTTTCTTCCCTCACAACCTTCGTCTCATAATTCTCTGTAATTTCTTTGAGAGTTTTTTTTTTAATCTGTGTACTGCGCTAGTGTTAGACGGTGGGAAATGTACTCAAATTTATGGTGCGGGGCTTTTCGGTGAAGAACTTCTTGTATGTTCTTTTGTTTACCTCTTATATATTGGAGAATGAAAAATAATCAAGGCAACCAAATGTCTTCAAGGTTTGCCGCATATTCAAGTTCTAGTTCGCTTTAGATTTTGTGACATTGAAAACCCATACGAGTTATGCAGATGATTTTATGTAAAAAGCTCAGAACTCGAATTGATTTAAAATCTTGAGCTGATTGAGTAAAAGAGGACAATGACAATTTTGTAATTAATACTAAAAGGGTAAAAATGAAATATAATAAAAATTATGACTTCCTTGAAATTAATTATGAAAAGTAAGACTTGATTGTTCAATCATAAATTTGATAGGACTAAATTGTGTTTTGGGATAAAAAATAGGACTTATTCGTATTTTTCCCAATAAAATAATATCACACAATATTAATCTTTAGCCAAGTCCCAATATCTTGAATTTGGAGATAAGAAAAACCAGGGGCTTAGTCACTTGGCTATGACACTTATGCTCAATGCGTCACAAAGGCTCTTGAAGAAGTTGATGGCCAATGTCATCTAAATGAAGTCAACCCTATGATTTAGAATAGTGCACAAGCACAAATCTCACACTAAGATCCAACAATATATGATCAATAGCTTGAAGATTCACATCAATCAATCTTCCTGAATTGAAAAAGAACCTTATAGACAAAATACACACCTTGAACATTCCTTCAAGTTTGTTGGTAAACTGGCTGCCGCACTCAGTCTTCAGCTGTAATAATGATGGAAACTACTTAGTTCCTCAACAGATGCAAAATGCTCAACGAAGATATGTAAAAGATGAAAACATCCATAACCTTGGAAATCATGGACTTCTCTGCATCAATGGAAGCACTTTTTCCCAACAGTATCCTTTTTGCAAGATCCTTCTTATAGAATGCTTCAAAGACGTCCTTACCCTAAATTACCAAGAGATCATATGACACATGCCTTTATAAATCATTTTGATGTCCAATATAGCAGCACCAAGTATCAAATCAACATATCAACAGCAGAAGGTAATAGCAGCATTCTAATTTAACCCAAGACTTGGTTGCCATCACCTGTATAAATCTGAATAAAACCAAGACTTTGTCGAGTGTACCCTCCAATTCCTCCTCCGAAGTACCCTTATTCCCAGCACGAAGCTTTTCGTCTAAAAACTTGGCAATAAGCTCAGCGGGTCGATTCTATGGCAAAGCAGAATACTATATTCTCAGAATTTTAAAAGTGAAGAAATAAAATGCATAGTTACGAATGACGGCAGATTGATATGACAATCAAAGGTAAGTATTTAATCCAGATTTATTAACACTTAGACTCACTATAATCAAGTGGATTTTATCAAACTGATGAGCCAGATAACTATGAAACACTGGAGAGGACTACTTTGCTGAAAGTGAATTGTAGGTTAGGTAGGCTGCTAGAAAGCTGAATTTTCACATTCAGCTTGGAAGTCAACAAACCATAATCAGTAATGCAATGGTCCTTGATTACCAAAAGATACAGAAAAGTCAGAAAATGCAGCATGAGGGAGTAGAAAGAGATTTACGGTCATGTGCAAACTCCTGATTTTCCTTACGTTATAAAAATTAGATAAACGGTCAAAGGTGTGGTAGCTTCCACAGTCATGCACACTCGAACACCGTAACGACTACTTATGACATTTTTTATGAACCATCAAAACAAGTAAGATGCGTCACTTCTAACAAATGCAAAATATAGGGCTATAATCTTTCCAATACCATCTTATAGTCACTGAGCATAGTGAGTTTAGATTCCAGATGTGGTGTTGGCATGTAAGAAACCATAAACTCTTCTACAATGGAAACACGTGTGTCCCTGTTTATATGTATTTAGACGTGTACCAAAGATGCTTGAAAACAGAAAAACAAGATCAAGTTCCTACAAACAGTTGCTCAAAGAGCTCTTAGTCAATTTAGTATTTCAATTTCTCCCATCCTCTTAGGATGGACCTCTCCTCCTCTACTTCCAAGTTTTAATCGAAGGAGTAGATAACACTTGAGAGAATTCCTTAGACATGGTACAAAAGTCCTGCAAAGAAGTGTTTGCTTCTCTCATAAGTTCAATGTCCGATAAGTATCTCTTAGTTTGACTTGACGGCTCTCGGTTCTTGAGCATATTGGGGGATTAGGAGGCAGTTGAAAGAGCTGCTCAAAAGCTTGACAAACAAATCAAAAAAACCTATATACTCTTTTTTTTTATTAGTCAAGGGTTTTTCCCTTACTAGTCAAATGGTAAAGTAGGGCGCTATTTGATGGAAAACAGACTTTAGGACGTTTGTTCAGGTAGCTCAGCCAGTTGGAGCATTTTCTGATTTTGAACATCATTCTGCTTCCAATTAGAAAAAAAAATCCAAATACGTAGAACACAATTTCTACAACATGATTCCTTTGGCGGGGAGCAAGTCAAGCCATACATTAACTATTAACTGAGGAAGAAAATGATGGTGAATCTCATGGCACAAAGGTTATATGAGGTGCAATGAACCTTGGGGACAAAATGCAACATTTCATCTTTTTATGTTACTACTTACTAGCAATAACATCATACCCAAGACATGGAATATTATCACGTGCGAAGATTGTACCTGCCGCAGATTGATGAGGTGCTCAAATGCTTCCTTGATGTTGTTGGAAAATGCTTCATTCTTTGAAAAGCTTTCTTCCCATATTGTATCAAGAGATGCCTTAAATTCTAAGAGGCTGGATACCATATCTTTGTCCTTTTCTTCATCCAAGACAATGCCCTGCCCAGTTCTCCTAATGTAGGAGCTCAGGGCCAGCCTCAATGATTCAAGGGCATTCACCCTAGAAAAAAGCAAGTAGACCCTCTGAAGATCCTCAATACGACTCCCATCCATCAGCATCATAAAACCCTGGACAGATAGATGGGATAAGAAAAACCATGAAAAAGCGAAGCCAACTCTCGCATTAAGAAGCACGGACACGAGACAAGGATATGACACTACATGAACAAGCTGACCCGTTATTTTTCAAAAAAGTGGGACACGAACACATTAGGAGACACACTAAATATGTGAATACATATAAATATATATTATCATATGATAAAATAAATATGTTTCAATGATAATCAGTCAATTCATCATTTTTTAATTCTAACAATTCACATGATGATATCATTGAATAAAAAAGAATCAGATATGCTGATACAAATTCATCATAAATATTCATGATCCAACAATCAATAACTACTAAAATTTATTTTCAAAAATATTTCACTTCGTATCATTAATTTTTATTCAATTACAATGAGCCCTAATTTCTAAACCCTAGTTTTCATCAATTTACTTTTCATATAAAGTTATTTCATTTCTACATAATTCATAATTGTGTCCAAAATTATGTTTATGTCATGTTCGATGTTCATGCTGTGATTGTAACTATTTTATACTGTAACTTTGACCCTCGTCTCTTTAAAACTACAACAATAACTTTCTCATTTATAAAATTACTTGACAAGTTTTCAAAAATTAAAAAAAAGCTCAAAATGTGTCCTCTAATATGTCGGTCACGTGTTCCGAGCGTGTCAATTGCATGTTCCCAATGAGTCGAGAAAAAATACAACAATAAAAAATCAAAAACTAATTTCAGCATCACTGACAGGTGTCCAAAACATGTCCGTGTCCTAGGAATGTCCGACACTAACACTTTAAATTACGTGTCCATGCATTCTAGTTCTCGCATATAGGGAGGAACCAGGAAAGGTGGCTTAATAGAGTCCTAATTTACCTTATCCAGAATTGCAGATATATGGCGTTCCAGGAGTTCAAAATGTGTCCCTCTAATATGTCGGTCACGTGTTCCGAGCGTGTCGATTGCACGTTCCCAATGAGTCGAGAAAAAATATAACAATAAAAAATCAAAAACTTATTTCAGCATCACTGACAGGTGTCCAAAACATGTCCGTGTCCTAGGAATGTCCGACACTAACACTTTGACCAAAATTACGTGTCCATGCTTTCTAGTTCTCGCATATAGGGAGGAACCAGGAAAGGTGGCTTAATAGAGTCCTAATTTACCTTATCCAGAATTGCAGATATATGGCGTTCCAGGAGTTCCCTTTCTGCAGTTCCTACCAGTGGCTTTCTTGTACTTGCATCCAAGTATAGTAAGCATCTATCATGTTCTTCATGCAACCTTACCTGGAGTCAAATAATAAGCTAGGTCAGCACTTTTCTTTCGTGCAATGAAATACGCAAACCAGAAGCTAGAAAAACAAAAGCAATAAATGAGAGAGGAGAGACAGTCATTTTAACACTTGAAAAGGAGGAGAACCAGAAAAAGCAGATGCATGACACACCTCCACATGCTTCAGATAATCTGGCACATCTGCCTGCTGCATGTATTTTATGCCTTCAGCCGCATAAAATTCAGACGTACGTTCAAGGAATGGCTTCTCAAAGCTATCCAAGTAAATTCCCAATGCAGTGAACATCTTCAAAAGATGGTTAAGGAGAGTCCTATCAACTGCTTCACCTAGTCTGAAAGACCAAAAACAGCATGTTGCAGATTACTAGATGTTAAAGAAAAGGCTCTTTCTAACAGCAGTAATAAGTCACCACAATCTTTCTTTCAACATCCTTTTTTCTGTTTTTTCCCCATGGAGGAAGGGGAAGGGGAATTTGGTTCGTACAAATAAAAACTAACCACAGGCAGAAGTCTAGGAATTGCCCAAGAAGCACAAAAACAAATTTGTGGTACCAAACTAGTGGGAAAACAATCTCCATTTTGGTTCCCTCAAATTGCTAATTAAATTTGATGATTTGATGCAGCCAACATAAAAAATATAAAGCCAACAGCTACTATGACATACTGGATATTGGTCCATTCTGGGAAAGGAAATACAGTGCACACTAATCTCAGATATGTTATCTGTGCATTCTGTGCATATATGAAACAAATTGAAGTCCATGCGTACAGTTATGCAATAGCATTACATAATGGTTAGGGGTTCCTGCCACTGCTACTGCCCCACATATCAATGGGAGTATAATTCATAGTCCTATCAGTCACTGCTGTGCATTAAGGTGCTGCAACCACTTGTACGGTCCATTACTATCCAAAACCCAGGTGAGTAAATCAAATGCACTTCTGGACCTTTTTTTCCAACCTTTTTCCAATCAGCGACAAAATCAAAGCTCAAGTCTTATTGGATCGTAGTGAGAAGCTGAAACGTTGCACCTCTTTGTTGGATTTAGGATACCATAATAAACTTGACCATGGGACAAATGAAGATTTCACGGCATATTGTATAAGGTTTTCTCAATTCCACTAGTCAAAATTATTCCAAATCAGCATCAAATAAGAGTTAAATTCAGCATTTATGCAAAATCATATATTTGGTGCCCTATAATTCACTCGACATTAGATGTTGCAAAGAGTCAAAGGTTTGTGTTAGTCAGCTTCTAAATATTTTTTAGCAGCTATAAAAAGAGCTGCTAAAAATGTCCCAATATCGGATTTCATGAACAATGTCCATGGATAAAAGGTGATAATATTCTCACTTTCCGTAACTTCATTCTACTTTGTAAGAAAATAAAAATCCATGGATACATAGAAGGGAAGTGTGCTAATTTAAACAGTGGAATCTCCATCGCACTGCCAATGGTAGATATCACGTTTCAACAAAGTGGCACAAGGCTTACCCCAAACAAAACATTCCATATATAAAGCTGAACATAAGTAATGGTTCAAAGTATCGCCCGATACCGATATGAGTCAATCGGGCGAGTCGTATCCGACTCAACACCTCCTGAAATGATCTTTACACGATACATATAAACTCTGAGTTTTGCACAATTCGACCAAGTCGCCCGAGTTAATTCCGAGTCAGTGAATTATCATCACCGAATCAGCTGATACGATACCGCAGTATGACCTGAATCTCTCATCATGTTTGTGAAACTCGTACATGCATTACAAGATATTTTATATGATGTTGGGGTCTAAAGTGTAATTTATGATAATTACAGTGGGAATTAAATTACAGTTATTGAATTATGAGAATTAAGAGATGTTTTAAACAGTAATCCAATGGGTTAAATGATTGAGTTGACAAAGTGATGAGTGTCATTTGTTGGATGACAAAAATGTTTTTGGGTGTGATTTGAAAAAAGATGAAAATTATGCGGTGAATATGTGGAGGAAGAAAACAAAAAAGGACCTAAGTGTAAATGAGTATAAGAAATGGTGAGTGACACCCGTCTCTTGATCAGCCAGTATCTCACCAATACATATATGTATGGAGCATAAGAACAGGAACTTGGTTGGGAAAGAAAAGGGAAAAGAACCGTGGTAAAGGTTCTAGCTTTCAAATAAAAATCGACATAAAGTGATTCTTGATTTCTTGGATTAGAGCTAATATAGCTTGGGGAAAATTGAAGTGGATCAAACTCTTTTGGTAAGAATACTTGTATTATGTATGTTTTAAGCTCTCTCTATACTCACTTTGTGTTTTGACCAAAAAAAAAATATACTCACTTTGTGTTAAAACCAAAGATTTGTATCGATTTTCGGTGTAAGAATAGAAGTTAATAGGTATGTGTGTAGTTAGAATTTTGTATGAAATTATTGGATTTTGTTATTGTTGAAATTTCTATACACGTTTATGGTTAGAATTGATAGTTTAATGGTTAGGTATTGTGGGATTGAAAGAAAAAGAGTTAGGGTTGATCTGGAACAAAACAGGGGAAGAAGAACCAGGTAGAACCAGTTCTACTAAAGAAGAACCAGTTCATCGAGTATTTGATGAAATACTGTGAGTGGTAAAACCGGTTTTACAAAAGAAGAACCGGTTCTAGGGAACTTAGCTCGAGTGTTCGTGAGTGAATCGCGATAACTCTCTCTAGAAAATTCCAACTGATGCACCGTTTTCTTTGTTGGAACCCAAACTCGTAGATCTTTCTAACCATATAAGATACAATACCTAATTCTAATTGTGTGAAAAATGGTGACCACTTAAAGTGGACTAAAATTCTGCAAATATTAAACAAGCGGTTAGCTTAGTATTTTTCAGGAGTAATGAGATAACTTTTCAAAAGGGAATCCAATTTTACTCCATGACCTATGGTTGCAAAGTTCGGAATGTCTACTCTAAGATGACATTGATTTCACCACGTAATTCAAAGGTCATGGAAAGTTTTAAATATGAGATTATGGGTATGCAAATTTAATCGTTAAATGTAAACGTGAGAATTAAGGTGTTTGATTATGTAATCTAAACTAAGGTTTTGACTTCCATTATATCACCCGGGAAGGGGTAGAGATGTGATATCTTAAATTTAATCAATCATTTATACATGAGGTGCATAATATCATGTGTTTGTGAATGGCTTTCATATATCTTATATCAGCGTATGTTAGGTACTGAAGAAATGACGTTAGCCTTGGGTTCATCTAAAAATGTTACTGGCAAACTGAATCTGGGTTTGAATGTAACCTAAGATGAGTATATTGAATTATATTGATTGAAAATATGATTGATTCTTATACTATATTACATGTATTCGTTGGACTGTGGTGTAGTGGAATATAACTTGTGAATAGTGATATAATGGGGTATCAACTGTAAATTGGTGATTGGTTATGCACTGAAGTTTAATTATGAAAAATAATTTGATAGATTATGAATTGTGAAATGGTGAATGTTTGCTACTAACTATATTTATTTGGATATAGCTAGATTATGACTCAATGGCTTAAGAATTGTGGATTGGTGTTAAGTGTGGTTGCAAGTACTTGAATTGAATGAGGGTGCTTACCAATATGTGTTAGCCGAGACTACTAGATGTAAATAGTAACGATAAATAATGGCCAAAACTCCCGGACATATACGGGTAGCGATATAATAGCCGAGACTTCCGGACATACATAGATAACAATGGGATTGCCGAAGACTTTTGGGCAAAATCAGATAGTCGTTAATTTTCGTTGAGACTTTCAAGCGTTATGGGATAGTTGAATATTGGATATTGAATATTGGGTATTGGACATTGGATTTTGGATAGTGGGTGTTAGATATTGGATATTAGCTATCAAAAGTTGGTTATTTGATATTAAATTACACTTTTAATGTGTATGAGTTATGATTATAATTGTAATGTGCTTATGAGTTTTCTTTCTATATGTTTCAAACATACTCACTGAGTGTGTGGTTTACTCACCCTTTTACAGTTGGTTATTTTCAGGTGTACGTATTAAGGAAGTGGTCCGCTGAGCAATCTTGCTTGACATAGAAGTGTTGGGGTCAGATTGTACTTTATGTTATGGGTCATAATGTACACGTGTTGTAAAGAGGTTTAAAGGGTATGGTGCCCTAGTCATGTTGTAACACTATACTATGTAAATGTCATATTTTCTTATTTAAGTAAATGGCCTAAAAACTATTGCATAAGTTAACAACTCTAGGGTAATTGTGGATTAAAGGTTAATAAGTTTGGAATTACCCAACTCTCTCCCCCTTACGAGATGGGGTGTGACAATGTTCAATATTTTCTTTTAGGTCATATCGCCAGATACCGCACCGCGACGCCGTAATCGATGTGTCTCAGAGTTCTCCGAGTCAATGGCCAATATCGGACCTTGGACCATGACATAAGTTTAGAAGTTAATATTCTTCGGCAAAAAAAAAATGATTTTGAGCTAATTCAAGCGAATTCCGTTTGAGTACTTTCCAGCTTCGTTTAATGTAGTATACTTCATCATCCATAGCTGTTGTTCTCATCAATTATATTTGTTCAAAATACTGGTAAATTACACAGACCCTTGAGCAGACCTTCTCGAGGTTGACAAAAAAATTTCGAATCACAAGATTATCATTTCCAGCTTCTTCTTTTTTTTCAATTTTTGAATTTTTGAACCTTCATTGCTAACAAAAATCACAAATGATATTAAGTTTGTCAATATACGAATGAATACATAGAGAGAATGTTTACAATTTCAGCACAAGACATGGTAGGGGCTGAAATAGAATTGGAAGTTGAAGCCCATGATTCTATGAAGTAGAGTTTTTGGACTGATACATAATCCAAATTTGGAGGCACTTTCTACATTGTCACCCATCTAAATTCATGATAAGAAGAGAGACTAGAAAGCCCCAATTAAAGGAAAAATCCTACCCGTTGTCATAGTTTCCAAAATATACTCTAACATGTCTTTACTGCTTAATCTCAGTTTTAGTAGTTCAAATTTCATGCAATGCATAGGATATAATTTGGTATTCATCATCACATGTTAATTGGTGTCTGAAAAGAGAAATGAAATGAAAAAGAAAAAAGCCAGCACCCTCTCTGTCCCTGAGGTTGCAAAGAAGAGTGACTGGTATGATATCCAGCCAAAATATATTTGGAGGTTGTTTCTTACCAAAAAAAAGGCATTGCAAAATCATCATGGTAAATGTATAATACACAGTATACGCATGCAGTTCACAAGGCTAAGAGACATGCCAATGGGAAAAAAGTCAAAGAAGAAAGATGCACAACCTGTAGGGTAAAGGAGCAGACAAAAATAAATATCTGAAACATGGACAACCCCTACTTCAATCTCTCCATCTAATCAAAATACCTTTCAAATGATAAGCCCAAACATATGATTTTGGGCTTTTACTTGATAAAAACAACGTAAACTAACATGATTATGAGCCTTTTGAAGTGCATTTAGACCACAACCACATCCACTCATTTGTCGGCACCATCTCTCTTCAGCATAAGACAAAAGACAGACCTTAAAATGCAAACTGCAAATGAGGAATAATGATCGCAAAAACAGGTTGAATATCCCCCAGCATATTTTGTCAAGGTCGCTAACACGACCATAATGACTGAATTTCAATGCTACACTATCAGATTTAAGAACCAAGTTAATGACGGACCACTGGTGCATTTGTTAAGTAAGGAACATATACTTAAGCAACAAAACCACAAGTTTATCTGTATTAAAAACAAATGTAACCTACCTAGTATAATCAATACCGAAAAGCCATTCAAGCCCCCAATAGGTATCCTCAAAACTGGGGCTTCAGTCTAGACCATGAAACTAGACCACTCATCCTCGCTGAAAAGCAATTACTCAAGTAATAGTCAGCAATCCAACAATCCACGGAATTTAAATCACATTTAAGAGATCAAGTTCTCATTCCATCAAGCATTGGCATCCAACAAAAGAATTCGGCTGTACTCTAGCTTATTTAATGCACCTAAATTTTTTTTTTCAAGGTTCTTCTTTAGTCATACTACCTCCACATGTAAACACTCGATTCCACAGCCTACTCAATTCTCCATGTCATCTACAGGCTCAATTTCTGAGTTAATCCTATCACTTCAATCCATACAATTATTTACAGATTTCAATCCAACAAATTTCTATATTTTAAACATAGGAATAAATTACGCATTTTCACTAATTTACAAATGGAGCATCCTAAGTGCCACCTTACAATATTTTGAACATGAAAAAATTATGGAGAAACATTCACACCCATTAAAAGTGCAGCCAACCCTGCTTGAATACACAGAGAAATATTATTGTGAAAATAATGATATAACTTGATGATAAATATTCAACTAAGGTCCCGTTTGGTAACATTTATGTTTTTTGTTTTTCGTTTTTATTTTGATATTTAGAGAAAACACGAAAAAAAAACTCGTTTGATAACCGTTTTTATTTTTTTTTTCTGTCATCGTTTTGTAAACGAGGGGCAATTTTCAAAAATGAAAAAAACACGTTTTTCGTTTTTTGATTCTGTTTTTCGTTTTTTAGAAAATCAAAAACCGTAAACGTTACCAAACAAGCACTAAGTCACCCGATTCTGTAACTACGTGGTCACACTACAATTGCTGCTAATCACAATATCAGTGTAGGAAACAATGACTCAGAAGTTGAAGCCTTTAGAAATGACAGGACAAACATTTGTCAGGCTATTAAATACCTTCTTCACATTTTAGGATAGAAGTTCACATTTTTTTCAATAACAGATTAGTCATTCCATGTATAGGAACTATAAAAATGACCCTTTTTCTGGACAGCATAATTCTCAGGCATAGTTAGCCATCCTGACCAATAAGTACATTAAATAAACTAAAAAAACCTTGTATACATGTGCACCTGTGCAGTAACAAGCTGCATAAACCTAATCAGGTAGTTATCACAAGAATTTATAATTTTACTGAATTGTTCAAGGCGTACCTTTCGCTCTCGATCATTTTCAGAAGACCAAATACAGTTTTGTGCTCAACTTCTGTAGCTAAGGAGAGATGTTTACGGAAAAGCTGCAAGCCCATGTCCCACAATGAACGGACATTTGGGGTTTGTTTAACATATGTTCTGTCAAGATACAAGGCTATACCACGGATCATCAACATCTGGTCACAAAAATCCTGCCAGCACTTCTCAACTAACGACAAGAAAACCACTAGATCTTCGCTTTGACCGACCAAAGACTTGAGTGCAGTGGATATGTGTGCTTCACACTCCTTTTCAATCCGTTGATAGAGACTTCCCCCCATCTTGTGCAAACAAAGGTCATTGACAGCCTAATGATAACAGAGTGCATTAATTCACATTTAAAAGTTGTTGTATCCAAAACAAAGGAAGTAGAATGCAGCAGAACGGACTTGATAGAGCTTCTCCAAATCACAAGGGTCTGGCTGCTTCAAGAAGATGGCACTAATAGCTGACTTCAGAGTTGCCCACGTGTTTTCTTCGAAATTTATTGGCAGCGTCGGTTTAGCTTCAAAGGGACGAATAAGAAAAAATGAAAATGAAACATATCAGACACCTTTTCTAGGTATTCGGTAAGGAAATGAAGGTACTCTTAAGCTCTATTCCTTCCAGATGGACTTCTTTTTTACAAGGTTTATCTTTCTAATACAAAACTGATCAGAAGGCATAACAAATCCCGATAAAGAACTACTTATTCCCACTACTTATCCCCACATACATACATGCATATATATATATGTATGTTGGGGGAGAGAAGGAGAGTATTCATCTAGAAAAATTGACCCTCTAAGGATATAATTCTTTCCCGGCAATTGTTTCAAGCAATTTGGCACCAAAATCCACAAAGTCTCCAAAATTTAAATTATGGCTCACTATAACATTTTGTATCATCCAGCAGAATATATAAAAAATGCAAAATAAAAGGTTGCTGGTTACTAAGCTACTTGTGTTGTGACATACTCATTCTCTTAAATGCTTAGATATAAAAAATCTAGATCATTATATATATTAGTAGTGAATTCTTTTTTGAGGTAAAGATATAAAACAAGAAGATTGTAGCCCTGGTGCTTTTTTGTAGTGAGATGTCATGCACCTTCATAAACTGATACCAGAAAACCACAGACCAGGAAGTTTGATTCTTCGTGTAGCAATGTGGGATGCATCATATCACATCTTCCCACATCAATTGGGTATTAATAATCATGCGTCATGGCAGCTGATTTCATAAAACCGTGAAGAACAGTTTCAACCCAAAAGGTTGATAATAAAGAGGATTCCCAATGGCAGGAATATATCGTTTAGTAACTCGGTCGATTATCGAAGTTGTCTCCTAAGGAAAAATAGTTGCATCTCAAATGATGATGAGTAAAAAGGAAAATAAAATCCTTGAATGAGTTATAAATTAGGTCAAAATTCCTATTTGCAATGAGATGAGCTTTGAAGATTATTTAGTTTCTTTTAAATACCCACAAAAATATAAAAAGAAAACAAATCAAATCATCACACTATACAAATTCTTTAAAATCACATTTTCCCCACAAAGCAAGCCTCCCACACATGGCTTAAACTTGTGTTCACTAACCCCACAGTGATAGACACAACTCACTCTTTCAAATCTAAGGATGTTGAGATCAATTCTATAGTCAAACTATTGACAAAGTGGAACTTCAGTCTTAAGCAAATCTAAAATGATATAAGTTACTCAACCATCCTCTGGCAAAATATCTAAGAAATTACAGAATTTACTATTCCTAGGGCTTTCGAATGTACATTTAACATGCAGGACCCAGGTCCTTGTTTGCACTCAACATTGACAACACAGCCAAATGCATCTGCCCAAGTTTGTTAACAACCATTAAAGATTGAATCCATCCACGTCTGCTCTCAATGAATTAACTAGATCTGTTTACCATAATGAAAACCATCACAATTATCCTAACCTAAATCCATCACTTAGAGCATGTGCCTATGATATTTAAACACCCAGTCTGCAATACATGACCTTCCTCACACTCCACCAACCTGAGTGAACCCAAAATGACTACACAAACACCCTAGGTTTTAACATAACTAAGTCCTACAGCACCATGATTCTAAGTTCCATTCCACAGAATGATGCAAAAAGCACATATAATTCAGTCATCGTTCGCTCAAGTACCCACTCAATTACGCTCACACCAACACCTATTCAATCTAAACTCATCAATCAATTCTTCACAATGAAATGCATACTGAATAGTAAAACATAAGGCGCATCAAAAGCATCTTAACTTGTTAATTTTTCATCTTTTAGTTAGAAAATTTAGTCAGTTAGCCACTCAATTTCAGCTCAGACCCACAATTTCAACAATCAAATATGTAAACCCTATATTCACCATGGTAAGTAAACAATTACAAAACAAAACAATCACTAAATGTCAAATCTTTAGAGAAAATAAACCTAGAATGGTGAAAATCAATCCATAAAAAGGTAAAATCAAACCTTTCACGAGCTTAATCACGAGCTTCTTCGCCGGCTGCGGTGGAGTCGCCTTTTTTCGAGCCAAATTGGCTGTGACCCCGCTGGTGGAGACACGCCCGGCGGGGGAAGGGCCATCAACGACGTCGTTCGGGTTGGGATCTTCGCTCATATAGTTGGAATCGACGACGACGAAGTTTTCGATATCGGGAGCGAAGTGGACGTGCGGTGAATGTTGTTGGCCGTTCTTGCCATCGAGAGAGCACGCTACGGCTTGTGACTTGGCCTTCTTCATTGCCGGAGGAGGATAGGTGCAGTTATAGGGCCCAACGCCGCCGTCACCGGTAGTGGAACTGGTGGTGGAACTGTTATATGAGCGCTTGTTGGGGTTGTTGGGTCGAGACATCAAGAGCTCATTGTGTAGACAGTAGATTCTAAAAAGACAGGCTTCTGTAGATGTGTGTGCGTGGGAGAGAGACGAGTAAGGGTGGAACTTGATCGGGGCAACCCGAATTCAACTATTTGGGTTTGGGTTAGAATTCAACTTAAAAAAAAATAGGATTTTAGTTAGAATTTTTAATATTTGAATTGAGTTTGGGCAAAAAAAACTCTAATTCAAATTGAATTTGGGCAAGTCTTAGGTAGAGGTCTCGAGTTGTCGGATTCAACTAAAATATTAATATCGGGTTGAACCCAAATATAGATAAATATATAAATATATTTAATTAGGGTTAACATTTATCTTCAGAATCCTCACTTTCACTTCACTTCAAGTCTTCACCACTGTACCTCCATCACTCTGAGATCCTTTTCTCACTTGTCATTCATCCCTCTCTCAACCGTCACTTATCTGAATCGTCTCAGATTCTCAGTTTTCATCTCTCACTCGTCACTCGTCACTCCTCCTTCTCTTACTCCCTCTCTCTTCATCTATGCATCGCCCCTTTCATCTTAGATCACTTGAAAAAATCAAATCTACATTTCAAAAAATTAACCTGAATTAAGTAATATAAATTCAATCAGATTTTAATCCGAAATCAGCCTGAATTAAGTAACTCGAATTAAACTCGGACAGTACTCGGGTTGAAGTAGGATTAGGGTTAAAAATTATATACCTAAGGTTGGGCCGAGTTGCACCCCTGTATACGAGAAAATATTGGGGTTAAATTTCTTTTTGCACATGAAAGATATTTTAATTTCCAATTTATATCGTAAAAGAATTGAATTTTTAAATTAGACTCTCACTGTTATAAAATATATGCAATGGAGCCTAATTTCGAGGTGAATTTTAAGATTGAGGGGCAATTTGAGCTTGAATAAGGCCACATTAAAAAAATAAAATATCTTTAAGAATAGAAAATAAAATTAGTTAAAAATATTGAGTGCACCATGTCTATGTACCACTTGGTGTAACGAAAACAAGTGGGTGAGGTGAGTCCAATGGTGTGTTTGGATTACATCTCAAAAAATAATATTCGAAAATAAATTTTGAGAAGAGTTTTAAGAAAGTGTGTTTGATATTTTTATATTACAAAATCTGTTTGGTTAAATAATTTTAAAAAACATAAAATAATAAACTTGTTTGGACAATGATCCACAAAACCTGTTTGGACAATGATCCAATAATAAAAATGAGAAATATATGTAGTTGGTTGGAATGGGAGAAAGTTCCACTAGGAAACACAAATGATGAAGATGAAAACTGCATTGAATGAAGCACAAAGAAGCTTAAGGACATGATGCAAAACATAGATTTGGGATCTAAACCAAATTGGAAGAGTCAAGAACCCACTGCAAGATTATCCTACAAAGAAATAGTTCAAACATAGAAGATAAAATAGGGATGTAAGGTATGTGAAGGATTTTCATTATAAGGAGTTGCTATCAAATGAGTAAGAGGAAGACTCTTCATTGCAAGTCCATATTCAACTCGTGAAAGAGGACAAGAGACAAATCCAAAACGCGTGGAAGAAGCCAGTCATAGTTAAACTTTTTTGGGCAGTCAGTGAACTACCCCTTTTTTTCCACCAAGTTAAAAAGTATGTTACAACCAGCGAAAAGAATGAAGTTCATCGACTTAGGCATGAGATACTTCATAGTTTCATTTGATATAGAGGGGGACTACATTAAGACGTTTCATGGTGGCACATGGTTTTCTTAACAATGAATACATCTTAATCCATAAATAGGAAGCTGACTTCAGACCATCCTTGGCAACTGTAACAACAACGGCAATCTGAGCAAGAATTACTGAACTTTTGGTGGAGTACTATGATTCACTTATCTATATCTATATTTATACTACTAATAAAAAGTATCTCAGCGTGAAAACTTTTGATTCATTATTTTACCCTTATAAAAAACTAAAGGCTAATAAGTTCTTTTGTATTTAAATATACAAATTATCATTATATCCCTCTGTATTTTAGTAACAAACTAATCTCAAATATATTATATAAATCTCTCTATTTTTTCCAAAACTTTTGAATGGCCATGGTGTATGCTTAACATGATATGTAAAAAAAATATTATTTTCTCCCAAAATTCCAATAATAATACACTTCAGCAACTCCATTAATAAAATATCATCTTTAATGCCCAAAAAATGATATATTTAACTTTACTCTTCATTCACAATCAAAATAATTTATTAAAAAAATTACTGAGGCACAAAATTAAAAAAAAAAGGACAAAAAGAAAAAAAATGATATTTTTCTATAACCCTTACTACTTGGTAGCTCAAATAAAAGAATCATAGAAAATGAGTTCATTAGATGTTTATAGGTATGAAGAGATTACAAACAATTTAAGTATTATAAATGTGAGATATTGTCTAATTTAGCTACATAATAAAAATTTTTATGTATTTTTTGACATGTTTTAACAAAAATTTTCACATGCGAACGCTAATCCTACAAAAAATAGGATCTAAGCTCCGACGATTGCTCAAAATTGATACATACACCTCAAAGAAAGAAAGTAGACAGTTTGCGAGAATCTGCATGCAAATACAGCTAGAAAAGCCGTTTATGACAAAGATCAAGATTGGGGACAAAACATACCAAGTTTTGTTTAAGGGGATAAGCTCCTTGTGCTTCTTCTATGAACGAGTGGGACATCGAAAAGAGCTATGTCCAGTGGTACAAACAAAGGAACATAAGTTCGACCACCCAACGGCTGTAACTCAAGGAGCAAAGATAGGGGATAGATAACATGGTGTTAAAGATTCACCTAAAGAAACAACCAACGAATCGAGGCGAGATTACAGGGAATGGACTTGTGTTCAGTACACAAAGATGAATAGAAACAAGGAGAAATTAGCAAATCCAAATCAAGTTCGTAGCCCAAGACAAAGCCCGACTATTGAAAAATTACAAAGTTTACCAGAGAGCATATCGGCCCCTACATGAGAGTTAACGAATAGTCGAAAGGAGTCCACATAACCCATACTTCATCCAATCTCCAACCATCACATGGCAAGCAACAACCTGAAAATTGAGCTTTCCAAAAATAGTGACTCAAAGGGTGATAGAGAGACTAAAAAGACAGAGAACACAAAATTCAAGGGAAGTTCGCTTGACTAACTACAACAGGTCGAACTCGCTTCAATTGCAGTTAAGTATAAACAAGTGCAAGAAAACAATAAAGCAAAGAGAGAAAAGAAGAAGGTTACTAAATAGATTTCCAAAAATACTGAAAAGTCAATTTCGGAGGCTAGCTGAAATCCAACCAAAAGTCAATCGGCAGTGAAATTTATTTTTCGAGAAACAATTGACTAGAATCAAAAAGACGGTGAAATGATGGAAAATAGCATCCCAACAATGGCTAATTTACAACCAGATAATGCACAAGATGCTGTAGAGGACCAAATTTTTTGATAAGGAGATAGATCTAGATACTTTTCTAGAATCAAAAATCTTAGGAAATGAGGAACCCTATGAATTCAATGGACGTTACAACACTCTCTTTGTAGCTGATTCCCAGCCTAACAACCCCAATGGTGGTACCACAACCTTGGAAAATCCAAATTCGTCATTTATTGATCCCTCTAGATAGTGAACCCTTAAGCATTTTGATTTGGGCACCCCATCACCTGTAAGGGTGGCAAGATCAAGAGATACGAAGAATATGGGAGGACTTGATAGAAAGGAATTGGCAGATTATCATGGCAGTAAAGAAGATGAGCTCCATGGGGAAACCTCCATCTAGTCAGATGCCTAGCTAATGGATCGAGAAAATAGAGACAGAATACATGGAGAGATTCCATTTTGCCTTGGAGAAGAGGATTGCGCTATACAGGAAGATGGTAAGGGACTATCTGCAAAAGGAGAAGTTGGGGCTAGTTCCAGAATGGGCAGAATTGGGGGGGGGGATCCCTATAGAAACCACAACTCTTAGTCCAATAAAAAAAGTGCTCTTGGTATTTATTCTAAGAGGGTACTAAGAGCTCGTGTTATCATAAAATCCACCCACCTAATGGAGATTGGCTTAATGGAGACCTATCTAGCAATTTGTTCGATGTGGTTCTCGGAGATGGGCCTGATTCGACATAACAGAAGTTGGAGGAGCTGCTTGTGTTAAAGGAGTTTGCAAATGTTTTCCCCGAGGACTTACCTGGTCTCCCTCCTGATCGGGAGATAGAATTCATGATCGACCTCGTACCTGGCACTATGCCCATCTCCAAGGCACCTTACAGGATGGCTCATGTAGAGTTGAAGGAGTTACAAGTACAACTACAAATGTTACTGGATAAGGGCTTTATTAGGCCCAGCGTTTCCCCATGTGGTGCCCCAATACTCTTGTGAAAAAGAAGGATGGATTAATGAGCTTATGCATTGATTATCGAGAGTTAAATAAAGTAACAATCAAGAATAGGTACCCATTGCCATGAATAAATGATCTATTTGACCAACTGCAAGGGGTTCAGGTGTTCTCAAAGATAGACTTGTGGTCGGGGTACCACCAATTGAAGATTAGAGAGGAGGATATCTCAAAGATAGCCTTCAGGACTCGTTATGGGCACTATGAATTTCTTGTGATGCCCTTTGGCCTTACCAATGCCCTGGCAGCATTTATGGACCTGATGAATAGGGTTTTCAAACCCTATCTAGATCGCTTTGTAATGGTGTTCATTGATGATATCCTCATTTACTCCAAGAGTATGGAGGAACATAAGGAGCATTTGAGGATGGTTTTCCACTCTCTTTTGGAGAAGAAGTTGTATGCGAAGTTCAAAAAGTGTGAGTTCTAGTTGGGCAGTGTGTCTTTCCTAGGGCATGTGATTAGCAAAGATGGAGTTTCTGTAGACCATCAGAAGGTGGAGGCAATAGTTAATTGGCCACGCCCGACTTCTGTGACGGAGGTGCACAACTTTTTGGGACATACTGGGTACTATAGGAGGTTTGT